CCCTTAAACCAATTTGGTATAAGATTCATAAAGGTGAGGGTAGCTATTTGGTTAAGACATTTCTCTCATGGTGCATGACTTCAAAAAATAGGAAAACTCTAAACAGTGATACTGTGTTTTGGAATATTGTTGGTGTTTTTCTTACAGTGCTTTAGTCACTGAATTCAATATATGCCTCTAAATTGTGTTCCAATATGTTGGTGACAACTGGAATTTAATCAGTTTAATCTAAGATTCCAAATATGTGGACTCTTAAAATTCAGTGAACACAATATTCTGAAGGATTAGTTCACAGGAATATAAGCATATCAGAAACAGAAACACGCAAACACACAAACCACAGGCATTCCCACTATAGACACCCATTATCTCCATCTGTAACCATGTGTTGTCGACCCAGAGCAGGAACTTTGGGGGCTGCTGTGGTCAGACACAGGGAGAGGGAAGTTAGCGCTGGCAAAGAAAAGACAAAGTCAGGCATTTTTGGAGTAAGATAAGAAGACAGCAGCAAGAAAGGAAAAACTAGAATAACAAAAAAGCCACTGGGGGATATGAGATTACTATGACAACACATGACTGTTTTTGCCAAGTTTCAAACTATCACAGCCTTTTAATCAACAAACACAACAAGGTGAGAAGTGAAAATGTGCATGGAAACGGGCAGGAAGCTGCAGCGTTGTGCAGTAGGTGTGCACTGGTGTCCCGTCGTGGTCACGCTACCTTGACCCGCCAGGGTGCAATAAAACCCAGAGCTTGTGTGGCACTGGCAGGTGCTGCAGCTGCAGTCTGAGCCCCAAGTATCCAGTGTCAGGCCTTTGTTTGCTTTTTTGATTTATTGCTGACCACTGCCCCACAAAACATGTGCAGAGGAGAGCCGGCTCCCCCCTCTCTCAACACCTTTCCACACATAAATAAACCATATCAGTGCAGGAATGCCTGAGCTCCAGCATTCTGCCTCCTGTAGGAATTCTCCCCGTTGATAAGATGATGCTTTGGGACATTTCATCGTCATCCTCCCGTCTCCTCACAAACTGCCTTAAGAATGGTCAAATGAAAAGAAGCGAAGTGAAAAGAATGATGATTTAGATCTGAAGATGAAACGGTGATGACAGACACAGAGATTTATACGGTAACCAACAGATAATATATGCCACGGTGAAAGAACACAAACTCACAGGACTCATCAGATGCAGTAAGCAATAACAGACTGCACAATGATCAACTAAACAGGGCCAAAAGTATTTAGCGACAGAGCCAAAAGTGCATTTAGAAAAATTAAACAAATGTGGGATATACAAACAAGGCTGTCCTCCTCATCAGAAGCTCAATTCCAGAGGCAGATTGCTTAAATCATGTTGATGTGTTGTACGTGCTGGTGTAGCAATATTGAAGCATTTTTCTCCTTGTCAAAATAAAAAGATATAAGTGAATAATCAACAAGAGCACAGGCGCAGAACTTCTTATATCGAGATCACAAGTCATTTTTGCCACAGTGACTATTTGGCACACCTAAAACAAAGTAGAAAGAATCTACCTTGCACTACGTTGTTTTTGACCAATCAACTGACAGATCTAATCAAATCTGACTGAACACAGCAGCTACATTTTTAAGAAAAAGCAACAGTTTATTCTACTTTTTAATGGACATGGAAGGCTGTTCTAGTAGATCCAACGAAAATTCAAATGAATTATCAAACGAAGCAAGTAAGGGGACATCTGTATTTCTTATATACGAAAGTACATTGTATTCTATAACACTTTCAAGCATGATCAGCTATAAAAAATTTAATTAAAAGTTACACCAACTTATTTTTAGAAATGATACAGCCAAGCAAAAGGTTAAAAATGAACAGAGCCATACCACAAGACTTTTTTTAATCCCATATCCAGTCGTTATGCTAAACTAACTGCCTCCCAACCATAGCTTCCACTCTACTGTAGGTTTAGTCTCAGAAAAATCGTTCTGTTTATTGCTTGTGACCAAACTTCATCAACAGAGGGGACAAAACAAAGGGGAACTTACAACTGTTCTTCCAACCATGACCCTCACTGATAAAAATATTGTTGCTCTGCATTACTATCTTAAATCCTAGATTACAGTCCAGCAGTGCTGACATTCGCTGAAGGATCAGCTGCAGCTGTCTTGGATGAGGGGATGTCAGGCTAAGACGGGGCATGCTGCCACCCCACCCTGAGCATCTGTGCCCACTCATAAAGGCTGGCACCCACTAAGCCAAAACAATCTCTCACTGATGACGATGACAAAAGAGTAATATGGATTCGACTTTGGTTAAAAACCACAAGCTCTAAAGGGCATTCACACATAAACTGCCACCGTGCATTTCCTTCATTTGTCTGTTTTCCATTAAAATGTTACAGCAAGGACAACTGCTACCAGCGCAGAGAGGGGAGCAAGTTCTCTGTTATCTGTGCAGCATGAATGTGAAAGATATGTCCTTCTTCCCAGCAACTTTGTGTTCCCATTTCCTAAAGAACAAATGTTACTGCTTCACAATCTCCAAAAGACTGATGAATGATATTATTAGAAATGTGGAGCAGGGATGTGGAAGTCATGCTGTTGTACTGAAGAGCCCTACCTCCTCCTCCCCTACTTCCCTCTCACCCCAGTGTTGAAGATCTGTTAGTCAGGGGCTGGGGAGTTTTGGTCTCCGGGGGCACATCCCTCTGAACCGCCTGCCAAGCTTCTCCCCTCTCTCCTCCATTCTCTTTCTTGCTAGGATTTTTTTTTCTTTGTTCTCCGTTTGGTTCCCTCTTCTCACATCTTCTGCTCCTCAGGTTCCACTGACTCCCTCACGCCAGCTTCCTATTAATCCTCCTTGTTTATTCCTACTTTCACCAGAAAACATTACTTGCCGCTCTCACACTCCTATCAGCTTTCCCTTCTTTACCCTTCCGCTCCTCTTCCTAAGCTAGTGATCCAGGTCCCTTGCAGCCGAGCATAATTAGGCCTAAACACAAGCCTGTGCAGGCTCACATCTGGAAGGAGTTTGGACATGGCAGTTTCCTACCAAGACGACTAAATATTTAGGTTGAGAGTTACTGCATGTGGATGAACTCATGATGGAGGGGGTGGGTAGGGAAAAGAACTGGGGAGCTTGACATAAAGGAAAAGAGCGAAAGTGGGGTGTACAACCGGAGTTCATGCGGGAAGGTTCAGAAAAGAATTAGCCATCAATAAACCAGTGATAAGTGTGAATTTGTTTTAATGCTGCTGTTTATCAACTGGCACACAACAGCGTAATTTAAGTGCTGCTGAGGCTCTGGCGGGCCAAAGGAGACGGTGATTATATCGGGGTGACTGTTTGCTCCTTATGCCTAGCAGGAATAACAAACAGCCAACTAATAGTTTTAATAAACAAATCCCTGTTGGGAATTCCCATGAGGCTGAGGGGCCTCAGCTGGAATGTTCACAGGGTCCAGCTGTTGTGCATTACGCTAAGCAGCCGGCCCCGGAAGCCCTGGACCTGGTGTTCTCCAGCCTTTGCCTGCTCAGCATGGAGGATAACATTCCTCCATGCTGCCCCAGGAGAGAGGGCAGCAGGGCTGGCTTCTCGGGCTGGGTATAGAGAAAGATTCCCCGCTGCACCTGGGATACTGTCTGCAGTCTCTACGCGCCCTGAGGAATGTCAGGAATAACACGAATATCAACAGAACTTCCCACATTCCACATCTGGAGTTAATGTCACGAGCAACGTTGGGAACATAAGCACATGAAGAACTCACCGAGTCATCAAGAAAACAAGCGTTCCACTCACGAGAGTTCTCAGGGAAGGAAACAAAGTGGAAGTGATTGCGTCTCATAAACGTGCTACAGAATGCCAAACATCTGCACAAAAACAACCCAACCAAAATTAGTAGGTGCGGGAAAAGAAGATTATCCTCAATCACCTCAACCACTGCCACCCAAGCCTTTTTTTAATCCTGAAGTTTTCACCAATGTGTTCCCCAGATGTTTATCCTGCTTTTATTAAGCAAGAAACACAAGGCCCTATAAACGGACCGCTGGCTGGCTCTGGCTCTCCTGGGGCATAAATCCCTTAACCTAAAATACTTCGTGCTATCAAGCACTTGAACGTGCCCATGCCCATGCTCAGCATGTGTGTCTCCCACCATACCAGAGTACACAAACTGCAGCACTGTGGAGAGGACTGAGAAACTCTGAGCAGCTGTGTAGAAAGTGTTGCATCGAAACAGAACAAAACACCACCCAAAAAATGTGTCAGTAATAGATCGGCAATCTATCATGAATGATAATGTGTTTTGGCCTATGATGAAGCCCTTTTAAGTTGGGTCCAAGTAGACCACACAAATAAGTTACTCATAATTGAAAATATCAAACTAGACTGGACTGGAATCAGTTATGACCCTCTCTCAAAGGTTTCTTTCTTCCCCTCAAAGCAGGAGTCTGAGAGACTGGGTGTTGCTCTGTAAAGCAAGGAGGCAGTCCACCAGTTAAGGAAAAGTTTGAGGGAAAATAGTCAGAATCTGCTTATTCTAATTTTTGCAATGCCAAGTCAGCTGGAGGCTGTGCACAGGGTGGAGGTGGAGGGTGAAGGAGTGGACTTCACTCAAAGCTCCAGGCTGAGCCAAATTCAAAGTGGCAGAGTTGTGTAGAGGAGGACGGGTCCTGATGATGAAGCTCTGTAATGCTTCTTGGGTCAGAGCAGAACAAGATGTAAACTTCTGACCTGAGGAGCCATATTCCTGCTGCAGGCTTTCAGTGCGGTGTAATCTGAGAAAGTTAAGTTATGGGGGGGGTGGGCCTAACTGGGAGAAGGACCTCTCAGAATCTATGGACTTTTTTGTTGTTAAATACAATGTTGATTGAAAATGTGATCTTTTCATCATTTACCATGGATGCACACCTTAATTACATAATACAGTATACTTGTAAATTTTCAACAGAACATGATGGAAACAAAGCTCATGATTAGAATCAAAATACAAAGGTTAGAGGTCAGAGTTAAGCTCCAACTTACAGAGTGACGGTCCTATTGGGGAGCAAGCTGGCATCCGGAAGTTCGAGCAGCTCCGCCTTGCTGCAGCTGACCTTTCTCCCCGCGGGCTGGACACCGTGCACTTTGGGTCGGTCGTCCGTGCAGCTGCAGCCGCTGGTGGAGGTCAGCAGCCCGGGGCAGGCCTGGGAGGGCCGCGGCTCAGAGGCCGACAGCAGGAGCAGCATCAGCACCAGACGCCCCGGCAGCAGAGGGATGCCAACGCCGGACGCAAACATTGTCCTTCGCCTGGGTCTCACCTCAGCTGCACCCCCGCCTCCAGTCATCCCATATCTCCACCATGAAGATCTCAGATGGTTTTTAGGAAGTCCCCCCCCCCAAAAAGGATCAAATTACGATGACAAGAAACGATAGAATAAACCCTGTCGTTGAATGAATGAAAAAGATCTTCCGCTCAATAGTGAACACACATCATCCGGTCACTGTGGAGACATTCAGCCCTGTTGAGTTTCCAAGTGACCCCTTAAGTCACGGCAGCCCAGGCGCTCAACTCCCTTTGGTCCAAAAGTCAACAGATCCCAGAAACGAGTCCATCAAATAGTTTAAAAATAAATAGTTATAAATAAAGAAATAAGCGTGACGTAGATCTGGAAAAAAAATGTTCGCATTAATTGCCTGGAAAGAATGACTTTTCTTTCAGGACTCTTGGGAGTGTCCAGATTACCGTTATCCCGTAACAGTTCCTCCAGGGGATGGTGAGGTTCCCGACTGAGCTGTCCCAGTCACAGCTACAGTCAAAATACCATTCATTAAAAGAAAATCAAACATCAGAGCATTAGATTAAAGTTTTTCCTGTAGTTTGGCTGTTTTTAAAAGTTTTTCGCGGCGTTCTTTCCGATCCTGGACGACTCCGCTCTTTGACGCGCAGCTTGTAGTCGATTTATACGGGAATGTAGAAAAAAAAAAAAAGATTGGGAAAGAAGCGACCTGTTCTTCGTCGGCTCTCGTGTAATTTCCCAAATCAAGCGGTTTTACCCGCTTGCCTCTGTCACACTCAGAGCCACTCACTCACTACCCCGGGTGCGCTCCTTTGGAGCTGGTCTGCGCGCTCCCCGCGGTCCTAGCGCGTCCAGTCCAGCTCAGCTCCACGCGTGGCCACGGCTCATCCCACCTGGACTTCATTCAGACTTGGCTATCAGAGTTAAGCCCAGTGTTATATCAGTCTTCACGGGAAAAAAAAACTTAAGAAAAAAATCAATTAACAAACAGGATGAAACTCAGTTGCTGAACATGGAAAACACAATGAGTTATTATTTATTGACAGCAACAGTCATACAAGAGAAACATTTCAGGAAATAGAAAAAAATGTGAAAAAGGGATGAGAAGTAGAGTTGATTAAATAAGTGGGCACTGTTTACTTGAATTATCAGGGTTGTTTGGCTCCTTGTAGTTTTGAATGAGCTATTTCCATCTTGAAGTCAGGAAGGTCTCAATTTCAATGTGAGGCCAGGCCTGAAGAGCAAACTAAAGTTATGAATGAATGTAAAAGGCCTCTTGTGTATTGTGTAAGTGAGCACATCAAAGACTGTGCTTTCAATCAATGGGAAAGAAAGGAAGCAGAGACTTTTAGATATCATTGACTTCAGTAAATCAGTATTGTTAGTTCAGAAAGACTTATGATGGTGGAGTTTGTTTTTTAAAATCTACAGACTGAGCTGCCATACTGTGGGCGACAATATTGTTCACTTAGAGGCTATTATTATTAGCAAGTAATTCTCACATACTAAAAAATATATATAATATTAAATTAGTGGTTCAGTTAAAGCATACATAGAAGGCAACCATAGGTCTGATGGTTTTTCTGAATGCAAGACAGCATTCAGAAATTTAGCATTAGGAATTGAAAGTCAACTAAAATCAAGTGTTTTTCTTTGTACACCATATTCTGTGTATGTTGTCAGAGAAGATTAAAAAAGGGCTCACACATCACCTGCATGCTTGCACAGGGAACAGCTTTGGTTTAGACCTCAGCTCACGTGGAGTGAAAAACATTATTCCAAAAACTCAAATGTTCTTTTAAAAGAATTTAAAAAATAAATAAAAACCCCCCCCCACCCCCCAGACTTATCCTTCTCCAGGATCTCTGGTTCACATTATATTCCTGTGCGTGCAGAAAGTTCACAAAATATAGTAAGAGAGTTCTGTTTTAAAAAATCCTTTTTGATATACGAGAGGGCCGGGAGGATGGAGACTATGGTGATTCAAATCTGGAGAGCGTTTCAAAATACGAGACGGTGAGGCAGGAAAGCTTTTGAAAAGGGATTTTATGCAATTGGGCTTGACGTGCACTTACTGGCATATCCAAACTGCAGGCACCTCAGTCATGCTAGCAGCTTGGTGAAATAATGGCGCACTGTGCTCTGACCTGCAGAGCGGACCCCTGGTTTGTTATTCCTGTATATGATACTGTACACTGGAGCGGCATGAGAGAGCCAGCATGATTATTGAAAGAAAGCACAAGTAGTAGATGGGCGCCTGCTCAGCAATGAAACAGAGGGCTGTTTATCCAAGCTGTTAAATAAGGCTTCTAGTGAAACACCCCCTCCAACCCCACAGGGCCCAAATCTCTCTCATCTGGAGAGCACAGTTTCCATTTTAAATGTCACGTCCCAAACTGCACATTACATCAAATTGTACTTAATGGCATCCAGACAAACTTTAATGTTGTTCCAACATTTTCTCTCTCTGCACTCTGCAGCCCCCTCGCTTCTTATAGCCGAGCAAGAAATCTCCCTGTTCCACATCTGGACTCCATTCCAGGTGGGGCATTGAGAAAGGAGAGCACACCGAGAGGGAAAGATGGAGAACAGAGAGACTTCGAGGCCCAAAACATACAAGGGAAGAGGCATCTTTATTTCGCTTTCAGTGAGAAATGAATAAAGTTTTTCTAAATAAATGAGAGATGACAGATCATAGGAGCTATATTGAAGGATTTGGCTTGGGTACAAGTTGTTCATATTGTCGTTAAAATCAGTATGAGGAGCAAAAATAATCCAAAAATAAGGCAGTCTTTGGTATAACCAGAGAATAAGACCAAATGACAGCTGAGATTGAGACAAAGATCCAGATCGTGTTTCTGCCTATGGAAAAACAACAGAACACTTCCAGGCAGGAAACCCTGTTCAGCGGCTCAGTTTTTGCTGATAGAGCCATGACATCTAGTGGCCGGATCAGCAGCTCACACTAAAGCTGTGTCTGAGCTCCTGAGTCCTGATACTCAATTTAACTTAGAAAATAGTTACACAATTACATATCCTCATATCTGCTGAAGATTGAGCGTAATATACTATTTTATCATCATTCTGTTTCCTTATTTACCATTTTTAAGTCTGTTAAACAGATTTAAAAATTCACATCTTTAATTTGTTCAGCCTAAGTGTAACCAACGTGTTTCCATCCTTGGGTCTTTAAAGTGGAATATTTGCATTGTCAGTTAATATTCATATTATATTACTAACACATTTTTTGTTGAACCCTTCACCTGTTCTGAAAATGGATTATGCATTTGTAACACTAAATGAAACCGAAGTACAGGCAGGCCTACTGCCTTCAATTTATGCAATTTTGAGTTTTTCTATTTTTTTGTATTTCATATTCATAAGTGACATTGTAGTTTGGGTTAAAATGTCAAAAACAATACCAGCACTAATAAAAATAAATAAATTACTGTTTTATGACCCTGTTAGGAATAAAAGGGTTTAACACATTGCAAAAACAAACTCTTTTCAAAGGAGCAGTTTCACCTCCTCTCTCTAGCTTCCATCTTTTCAGAAAATCCTAACTAGATATTGTAGCAATGCTGCCTCCATGTGGCAAGTGAATGAAATTCAGGACCTTCACCTAACCGAGTTGGAGAATTTAATCACTTATTAGAATTATGTTCAGTACAAGGCTACAAAAAAGTTTAAGGTTAGTCCCTTGAACATTACATGGGTGACTTTTATTTTAAACATCTTGCCAAACCAGTTCAGCTCCAGCAGAGCGAAGTCTTCATCATATTCTTTTAAATACCAAGAACCTGATCCAGTAGATACACCTAAAGGTGTGATCCAAGTGACGAATAAGCTCAATTGAAGTCAGGCCAAAAAACTCCCGCTCAGCTCATGGGAAATTTGTGATGCTCGATTTATGATAAGGTGTATACGGTGTAACAACATGTGGTCAAACCCAGGTCACGAGTTCCATCTACACCAGAGTAGCTAATAAAACTTACCTTTGTTCCAGAGGATGTGCGGCAACACTATTTACTTGCATGGCAATATTCTGTCAATACTGAGCTGAAAATATCTTGCGAATATATAAACAGGAGTATGAATAAAAAACTTTATATGGACACTGTAAATATAATAGGATTTTTTCTAGACAGCTGTATTATTGTGTAGATTACAGCAGTCATAACAGAGGGAGCTGCATGTTGTGCGATTTTATTAAGTGCCACATAAAATGTGAACATTAAACTGTATCCGAGTATTGCTGTAACTGGACAAGTGTAGATCATACAAGCTTTCCACACATTAAGTCCTGTGCATACATCATGCATTCTAAATGATTTATATTATAGAAAATATCTCAACCACAGACATCAAAAACATTGGTATACTTAATGTAGTCTCTCAAAAATCAACAAAATGGCCAATCAGCTTTTTTTCCCACCCATTATTACTGCTTTCTACTAAATTCAGCTTACAAAAGAAATTATTTATCAATCTAGCGCAAAATTCACAAACACAATGCATCAAACAATTGGGCCCCACCTTCCTTTCTCTCATGCATACCCACACACGGATGAAGAGAACCGCATTATTACATGTGAAAGCATGAACCCATACACACCCACTCAGCTCGGTAAAAATGACATGCAGAGTAGGGAGTAAGCTAGATTTTGGTCCCTTTGTGTCAGCACAAGATTCAAATGGTGATTCTCATCGTCAGAGAGCCGGTACTGTTCAGTTTTTGTAAAGCACTGGGCTCACGTTAATGTGGCCTAAGTACAATGTGAGGTGGCTTGAGTCCATGGCAGCTGTGAAATATTAGAGCCTAGAATAACCTAAAGAGACCAGAGAGGCTGGGGCCATATAAAAAAGCAAAACCCCCGTTCTCATACAGTTACAAGTAAAGCAAGAAAGTGTATCATAATATTGCAAAGTAGGACTAAATGTGATCAGAAAAAAAATCCTCTAATGTCCAACCCATGCATCAACCCAAGGTCTATAACTCAGATGGAGTCAAAGTTAGATGAAGTGGCGTTCCAAGCAGACCAGCAGCTCTCCTTTTCCATAATAGGGTTGGTTTGATGTGGCCGATTCATTGACGGGGGGACACCGCAGTATGAGGAGAACTCCCCGGGCCCTGGTACCTCTCTTTGGCATGCTTCTCGCAATACATCATGTCTCCAGCCCAGAAGTGACCTCTCATCCTGAGGTTAAGCCCGCAATCTGTGCAAGTGTAGCAATCTGGGTGGCGGAAGCGGTCATCGGTGATCCGCACAGCCTGTGTACTTTGGACAACAGTCGGATACCAAAATGAATCAGAGCAACAAGTGCAACGATCAACAACAGTTAAGTTAGTTTCCTCCATATTAACATGTTCATGCCATTAGATCCAGGTGTAGGGCATGCTAATACCAAACTTAAAAATGGAGACAGTCATGTCATACATGTCAAAAATGCCATTTTCCTTTATTGAATTTGACCCGTTTGCTCTGTGCAATCTATATGTTGTTGTGCCATCTTCTATCTCAGCATAAAATGATTTATTAAAGTGTGTCGGTCTAACCCTTATTTGGATGATGTTAAAATACCTGAATATTGCAAGTCCAATATGGTAAATATTTTTTTTTTAAAAAGAAGGTAATACCACAACCACAGATGCAATTAAAATAGTATATATTTCATTGTTTTCACAAACTAAATTCTGCATGTATGTCATCCACTGTCCTACAACAGGGGACTGGAAACTTACACAATGCTGGTGCCACACTTCTCACAAGTGTGGTATTTGCTGACTCCTGCCACTGATGAGCTTGGCTTGGGGACATTAGGTGAAAGCTTCCCTGGAAATCGCAGCGTGGCCTCTGAGGAAAAGAAAAGGTCCTCATTAGGATGTTCTAACACACAGATCACTACATCTAAAATTGTTCGTCTTCACTTTGCTCTGTTAGTGCAGCTGAATTGTGTCTCCCACCATATATAATCTCTGGGACAAACCCAATGAGACAAAACTCCAAACTATTGTCATTCAGTTAGATAGTGTTATTATCTCTGTACAGTGCATGATCAACCACATCGGTGACAGTAGGTTATGTGACCTTGTTCTGATTGGTGCACATTCAACAGGTATAGTGTGAAATGGTGATGCAAACAGGATGGATTTAGGTTGTGTAGCTTCTGACACAGATCTTGAAAAGAGCTGAAATAACAGCCAGTCAAAACTTTAAAACAGATCTCATTCTGAAGTTTCCACATTCCAGTTATTTTCCAGTAACTTTTTCTTGTTCTCAATTCTAATCATGAACAAACACAAAGAACGTTGTCTTCAACTCATGACATGGAGTAATTATGATTCAGGTGGAAAGCAGGTTATCCTCCTCTGGGAAATCTGAGGTTCAGTTCCAAGCCTCTTCACATGCTTGGGACCTTAGGCTAGACACTCCCTAATTATCTGCGATGTGCTCACAAGTGTACAACTGTAACTGCTACATGTACAGACCTCAACTGTGTGAATCTGAGAACGAAAGCATTAACATGATTTTTAAAGTTCCTTTGGAAACTAAATTATAGTATTTTTACCTAAATATTACTGAACCACTAAGTATATTTACCTTAATAATAGTTAAAAGGTTTAATCAAAGTGTTTACATTTGATATATTAGTTGTTTTTTTTATCCAAATGAATCCTTTTTAATTGTTAATACCACCTAGTCCGGGGAATGATTCTAACCTTTCTCGTCAGCCTCCAAAACCTCTTGTAGCATTTTGAAAGTGTTGGACTGACGAGGTGCTGTGCGGGACTCCTTGTTCTCCTGGATCATCTTGTACACTTCCGAATCCCTGTCGAACCTCTGCATGGCAAAGTCAGAACTGGAACTGCTGCAAAATTACCCCAAAACAATACACCACAGGTCAATATTTTCATGCTAGATTGCACAGTGGAAACAGAAGACAAAACTGTTTCCAATCAAAAGAAATAGTTTTAACCAATATCATGTCAACAAAAACATCTACAAGCTCTAACAGTATTGTGATTGTCCAATAAAATCATGCATAAAATTCAAAGTGTTAGCTTTATTTTTATACTATTGAAAACAACCATCGACTACAATAATGTGTCAACCTTACTATGTACACAGCGGGAGTTTTTATCTAAGTGGACACTGTTAGCTTATAGATCAGTTTGAAAAGCTTCTCACTGTAAAAGAAAATAGTTCCCCAGGAGTTGTGCAGGAAGTATTGAATTTTACTGCTCCTATCACCAACATACGTTCGAATGTGTGTGCACCAACTGTTGCTGACGACACATGTATACACAAGAGTGACAGTTGTGTTGGTATAACAGAAGCATAAAGAGTTAGGTTACTGAGTGCATGTGTTTGTCAGAGGGGATCTGTGGATGCTTGCCGTCAGTACGGACTGGTTGGGTAAGTACACCCTAGTCAAGCCATGTGCTGTTTGATGCTCTCCAACCACTCCCAGAAGCTTTAGTCTCAGCCAGAGTCAGGAGACTAAACCCAACTAATGTGTCATTTCAAATAGTCAATGATGACCGATGACCTCCCTAATGATAACGCTGAAGACCTTTGAACATACCCGGATAGTATGTTACAGATAATTAACAGCATCAAAATGAGCAACAACCACATTTTCTTGTTTCACAACATTTACATTAGGTCTGCACAGCCAGAGTGGGGTACAGACTAGTAGAAGGAAAAAACTAAAAAATCCCAAAATAGCTTGACATATTGCATATAGTCCCAATGCTGATAGATGTAGAAAGGTTGATTATTGGCCTTGAACAGTCCTTCTTGCTGATAGAACTACAAGTTTGTAAGCACTAACATAGCCTCAACAGGACACGACAGACAAGAAATATGTGAACGAAATAAATGCTTCGCTTTTCCTCTGTATATCAGTAAGCATGGATCAATTGAAAACAGACCTCTGAAACACAACCTCCAAGTTTTCCACATGCTACACTCCACCCTCTGCAATCCATTTCCTCTTTTTAACTATTTTTTCTCAAACATTGATTCTTCTAACAACTGAAAAGCCTTCCAAATGGAAATCGAAATTAATAATAGAACTCAGCGTGAATGGCATGCATCAAAACAAGGGGTCGAGTTCATTAACATGTAGTGAAAGTGGAAAGATTAAATAAATGTGACTGCTGTCCTGCTGTGTTTCAGACCCTCATTTACCACACAGAAGCAACGATAGTTATCTAGTCAAAAAAAGACCAAAACATGCATGTAGCCAAAACACATCTAAGATCACAAAGCTCATTTCAAACCAAATTCCGGTACCTGATTGTTTGGCAGTACAGCTATTGAATAAAACACAGACATAAAAATGACACAACTCACCTCAACAAAGGAAAGGGAACAGCATAACTCCAGAGACAGTTTTACTTGTAATGATACTGATGTACTTAGAATATTTAAGAGAAATAAAGCATTATTTAAACACACCCGCACACACATTCATGTGGACCACATACCTCTATCTAAACCAGACGAGACTGAAAAACAAGAGTCTGACTGAAAGGTGTGCCTTTGGGCTTGAATTCATTGGCCACGCATCATGAGGGGGTGGGTAAATGGGTGTCTGAACCTGTGATTGGCTGGAGAAGAGCAGGCTGGGGGCTCCAGGCTGGGGTCCGATCAGGGGGAGAAGTAATTAGTCTGTTTTTTTTTTGTTGCAAATATAGAGTTATCTGGATAGGACTACAGTTGCTGACACGTCATATTGCCTGCCCTGGTTACTCAAGGGGGAAGGGGCTAAAGTCAACTATTGTGCGCTGTGAAAACAGTCGCCAGAGTTCTTGAGCACATAGGATTATGGGACAGATTGACAGAAATATGTTCATTTTTTTCCTGAGGTGAAATATTTTCCAAGTAATGCTCAAAAGTAGCACATGCACACAGGGAAATGACAGCTTTAGGGAGATAGAAAGGATATATACTTTAAAAAATGCTGAAGTCAATTGCCATTTCAAGATTTCAGATAGATGCACAAACTGATACATTTTCTAAAATTGGTCATACCATTTGCACTATAAATTGCTTTTCAACACACACCATTCACGCTATACGTAGCTGCCATTACAACTAAAATGGAGTATAAGGTTTTTACCTGCGTCTGGGGGACATGGGCACGTCTCGATCGATGGGGCTGTGGGGTGAGTAGCGGCCTGGTGGGGTGGGGGTCCTGCTCGACACAGAGTTATGCCTGAAGTCCGATGGGGAAAATTCCTAGAAAGGTGAGGAAAGTAAGAATAATTACCTGGATGGGCATTGATAAAAAAAAAATTATAAAGAAAATCCTCTTGCAGCAGCTGAACCTCTACAGTTCAGGGCACTCCAACAAGACTGTGTACAAGTTCTAAAACCATGATGCACTGTGACTGCAAAGGACACAAAACTATGCTAACTTCAAAGGCAGGGTTTCCCCGATACCGTCTACTGATTGCTGCTCCACCACACAGTGTTTAGATACTGAACACATGTAGCACTCTTTTCACAGGAAGCTCAAAATCCAGGAACACTGCAAACATGACAGAGTGGAACAAAAGTCAAAGCTGTCAAGAAAACCAGAGCTTTGTAACTCATGAGAAAACACTACGTGGAGAACAGAGGAGATCATGTTTATACCTCTCAATATTTAACTGAAACTCGGAGTAGAAAAAACAATGCAATGGGTTTGTGTAATGCCTTGAGTTTCTATAACACAAGTCACACCCAACATTCCTCGTTTGCTGCTCAGCCTCATTCACAGAAACCTACATCAAATTTAGTTTTTTAATCTATTTTGGTATATTTGGTATATTTATCAGCATTTTGGTTTGAAGACAAACATTCTGGCCACAGATGTTTGGAACCAACTTCAGTGTTGGTTTGATGAAAGAGGAAGGTCTCGGTTTTAATTCAAAAGTCTCCAGATGCTGTGCAGATTTAAAATGTATTCATGATGGCCAAGATGTGCAAAGTTAGAAAGATTCAAATGTATATAAATTAGAATAGCTTTTTCGCCCAAACTGAACAGTTTGCGCAGCTGTGGAAACTATCATTCGGTTAAGACAAATACATGCGAGACATGTTTGACTTTTGACAGAAGAGGGAGCTATATAGCAAGAAAACTCAAACTGATGAACTGCCTACAAGCCCCCAGAACATCTGCTGCTATGTGCCAGTCTGTAGCTTTTTTTCAGCAGAAACCAAAATGATTAAACATAATATGTTTAAGAGTACATTTCAATTCATTTAACCTGGTTGGATTGTGGGTCACGAGTCACATTGGCAGAGGCATATGTCCACAAACAGCTGGACTGACTCTGCACAGCATATGCATCACACAAGACACTGTCATGGTGAGGAATTCCACAATTATCTGGTGTCCAACTGTGTACATCTGAAAAGCTGACCATTTACCACTTAAAAAAAAAAAAACATAACCACAGTATAAAACAATATTTCTGCAAATATGGTAAACAAAACACAACTTTTATTCTAAAGTCTGTAAGTCTGAAAGCTTGCTAAGCGAGTCATAACCTAATTTAAGCTTGTGCACAGCCCAGAAAATCCCAGCCCCCAGACTTCTCAACAGTGCAGCAGCTACAATAAAGCTCAGTTTTTCTTCCTTCAACAGTCACCAGCTGGCATCCGTGTTACACAGACTCCATCCAAGACAGAAATGGCTCCACCCGACTCTTTGAACCAGTATGGGAGTTAAGTTTAACGCTGACACAGTGGCATGGATGGAGTCAAAGATTTTGTGACCAATGCCAGCACCCGCTTCCAATTCAGAAACTCTTTGAACAATGTCTCTGTTCTCAATTGAGTCCAATTTTCCTTTTCTTTTTCCTTAGTGAGTGGGCAGATTAGTGGTGCATGCCAGGAAGCCTTCAGCATAAACGATCACTGGTACTTCTCTATACGATTCCTCCCAGGATAAAGCCATCATAATAAGTCAAGGCTCATAAGATCACGCATTTCATATTATCAGAGCACAAGAATAGAGACATCCACTTTCTCTCCTGCTGTGAAGCAATCTAAAGGGCATATACCTGATGGACATACATGCTTTAGAGATTCTTTCAGGTTGTGCTAGTGAAGCCATACAAAATGTGCATATGAATCCACACTAATGCAACCCAAGCACTTCTTATGTAAGTGTCTGGCTATTCACTGGACTTATGCTTTCCAAAAGAATAAGAATTTAGAGATAAAATCACAGCCCTGATCTATGAGACCCAAGTGGAATGCAGTGAAGTTAACAAAAACAAAGAGAAAAAAAACAAGCCCCAGTGTGTCAGAGTAAGGAGTTGTGACAGACCCTGTGAAGAGAACATGAAAACAGCAGCACATCCAAAGCTAAGATCATTCATTCTATAGGATCCAGTGCCAGAATTTTACTGCAGTAGCCATGGTAGGACTGGCAGTGTACTTAAGCTACTGTAGGTTATCCACAACATCCTTGTTTTAGCATCATTACTGTTCCACTGCAAGCCATCAAACCATTACTCACGGCTGATCTAAGGTCTACAATGCATTTGATAAACTGCACCATGGAACTGCCAACAATGTCCCCAAGCTTTATGCACCATCAAAGTCAAGGAGCGGTAGGGGCGAACTGAGAAAAGCCCATTATTTTGTCTAGCATGGTAACATGGCCATAGATGGGAGAGAATGCTCATGAATATCAGCCAATTTTCGGTGGTTCCTGTGGCTGCCAAGAGGGGGAAGCTCTGATTAAAGCTGCACTGAGCTGTAATCAGAAGTTCATAGTCAACAAACCCAAGATCATTAGGGCAAGTCACTGGTATGCTTTGCTGGCTTAATGCTGCACATCCACTAACACATCCAGCTACTCATTTCACAACCTTTAGGTCAGCCATTTTAAATGTTTTGCTAAAAGGGAGTGTGAGAGCATATAAACATTGCATCTTTAAAAAAAAATTAAGATATCAATGAAAAATTGCATCTTAGTATCAATGTCATTTAGCCACATCAACATAATGACATCCAAAGAGTATTATAATTGCATAATATACACTAGTCCCACCCAGTTTTGATGAAACCATAATCACACAATTTGAAAACAGCAGTCTGAAAACCCTATCAATCAATTAGAAATACACATTTTTTTACAGAACTGCTTGTTCCTTTGAGCTGAGATATTCCACATTGTTTTTCTAATAGACAGGCTACTCACAAAAATAACTGGAAAAGGAATTTAAATATTTCAGACTTAATTCGGCAGTTTATACGTTAAATATCAGAAACATTTTCCTTGATGTAAAACCCCTCACAATCTGTAGCCTGAGTTCAGTTTGAGAACCTATTGGTGTGAGTTCCCAAGTGATGCACTGTATGTTTTCTCCCATGACTGAAAATAAAAACATGTTTCAGATAATTGCACTTATTGCGTCCCATTGAACTTTATGGTCAAGTAAGTGGAATGTTGGACAAAATGACTCGTACCAAACACTGAAAGAGTAAAATAAAAAAAACAACAAAAAAAACAGTAAAATACAAAAAAGGCTTTGTCTATGACTGTCCACCGAAAGAAACATACGAGGAGGAAATGACACACTGCAGAACGGGCAGCTGTTTCAGATCAAGACCAATGGGAGACATTTGGGGCAGAGCCAGCAGAGGAGTCTTCAGTCTGGCTCCAAGCAAGCCACTCTGCATCATCATTACCACCCTGCAGCTTCAATTACAGGGCACTGGGCAGCAGCGCATAGAAATGATGCCGAGAGCAGCTTATATTTTGGGAATCCTGGTGCTGCTGTGAGACAGTGCCATAACTGCTCCCTATGTCTCTGCCACAAACTTGAACACTATGCAACAACGTGTCGAGGAACACCAGTTATTTCGGGCTGCGTAAATATCGGAATAGTGTTTGGGATTTCTGTATCAATCAGCATGCAATTGTAAAGGTCAAGGAGAACGGCCTCACATCAGTCTCCATGTTGTCAACTGTCTCTGATAGACTGAGCCTTAGTCCTTGTACTTATAGCTGGGCAATGGTGCACACTCATTCTTTAACAATGAACAAAATATGGCTGAAAATGACACACTATCACTCCATTAACAAAATTCATGTCATGCATCTTCTTTACCTTTTTAATTCGGTAACAACTCACTGCTTCTGGTGTATAGGAGGTTAAAGCAATAGTGCTGACTGCAATAATGATGCAGGAAGAACAGTGTGCTGAGGGGAAGAGAGCAGCTCCCACAGCCTGTCATATCTATGCAGCGCTGTGTCAGCACAGAAGAATCATCTGGTTGCACCAGTCATTTCTGCTGGAGGAACATGAATGGTCTCATTATTAAGCTTAAAAACAATCATCACTAGTTTAAAATACATTCAAGCTGAACAAAGCCCTTGTGGTTAATAAAACTTTCTAACAGAAAAATAACCCCAAAAGCGTTTCTTTATTATTTTATTAAAATACCTTTAAAAAAATATCAGCCCCTTCATCTCTTTATTGTATGAGAGTACTGAGCACTGCCAGTTCAACACACAAAAAGTGTTTAAAGCTGGATTTGGTTTTCCAATCACAGCACTTTGTTCCTTTCTTAATCGCATTAGGGGAAGTAAAATTCTTATATCTACACACCCTGTACAGTCTTTCCTGTAGCACATGGAGAAGGCTTTGTAAGTAAAATCCAGCTTTCTGAATCCTCTGATGCATTAGACATATGAATTCTTGGCATTGGCTTACACAGTCCAGCATTCAATAACAAGAACTTAAGTGTGACAGATCTTGGGGATACTAAGGCTAATACCACCTCCTCCCTCCATTCATTCACCATGGCCACACACACACACACACACACACACACAGACCCGGACACACACAATCACACACAACAACAACTGTCCAAGCTATAAACCATATGTATAAGATTAGAGGCCAAGTGAAGAGTAGAGGGAAGATAACATGAGGCCTGAACATCCAGTAATTTACTTTGTGAGTAGCAAATGATGGGTTTAATAGACATGTAGTTTTCAGATGCAATGCTTTTATACGTATATGCTGTAAGAGATGTCTGATGACAGTAACAACATATTAGTTTTGAGCCGTGGCATTAGTTTAATGTGTTGTACATGACTCTTGGTGCACACTAAATGAGGATAAGCCATAATGTGTGAATCATGATGGAAGAAGTGAATACTTTTAGTTCTTGAGAGTAGCATGTGATCGTAACGTAGGTGGTCTGAGGCAGGCGCTCACCCAGACTGCCACCAAATTTGCGAGACACAATGAGGGATGAATGCAAGACCAAGAGTTTATTTATACATGAAGGGTGCCATGAGCAACATTTTTTCTTGTTTCTTTTTTTTTCACCCCACATAAATTCTCCCCAAAAAAGTTTAAACTGGAGCTGCATATCAAGCTCATTAGACATCTGGATATCATTATGGTTGGATCCAAAAATCCTGTACTTGTGTTAATTCATGGTCCAAGGATGCCTCTCTTTGTCATTAAATGAAAAAAATAAAAAACAATGCCGTGAAAAATGTAAAGAAAACCAGACTGTAATCATTTTAAAATTCCTGACCCCACATGTATAACAGTCGCAAAAACATGATATGAAACTTTGAAACAGATATAGTATTTGAAAAATGCAAAAGAACTTTGCAATGGTTGGCGAAGAAATTAACTAAAAAGAGGGGTTTCTCATGAACATTTGTCCTTTATCACAGCCATTTTCATACAAATAACTGTATCAAACCACCTTTCTTTCCTCATTTAGTGCTTTTATTACACTGCAAGCAAATAGCAAAAGGATTTTTTTTTAAAAGATGCATTTACCGACACTAAATTAATATTGTGAACATGCTTTAGCTAACAGTCCCAAATTGGTAAATTTCTATTCCAGGATATGTTGAATGCTTCAAATAATCCATCACTTTCTCTGTTGTCACAAACACAGATAGTCACACTAATGAACCACGTGCAATAGTTCATTACAGTAAGATCAAGAACCTAGCCTTTAGTTCAATGAGCATTTATACTTATCAGCATAAACCTAAAGTATCAATTAGCTGTACATTTATGATGTTCCATTGTAGCAGAATTATTCTAGGTTAAGCAGCAGATGCCACTTTGCCAGTATAACAGATTTGATTTATAACCAATAAATGCAGCCTAATAACTTTCTGAATTATTAAGCATTGTAAGAATAAACCTGAAAGAATATAAACCATTCAGCTGGCATGAATACACTGGAACCAGTTCTCAATATTGTTCCCTTGACAACAACTTTAGGTTGAAATATCATTCAACCACTTTTGTAAGCACAACCAACTAGTTAAAAAACAAAAAAAGCCCAGCTCTTGCCTCAAACAGCTCCCCATAATTTGATTTTTTTAAATCAATAAATAAATAATACACAGAGCCAGCCGTCTCCACAAGTGTGCCCAGAGGACTGAAAAGCACGGGGAATCAAAAGTGCCTCCGTTTGCTTTTCTACTCCAGGGGAAAGAAAAACAGACAGGCTGATCAATCAGTGGGGATAAGGGGAGGAATGGTGCCCATGGAATGGCCACAATGGACCCCAAGCCCAACGGTTACCAGTCCACGTGAAAAAGCCTCACACTGGCCAGTCACAGAGCTCCCTGTGCAGAGGAGAAAGCCTCCCTCTGCTGAGGCCACAGCGGAGCAGTGCTCCCTGAACACCGGCTTGGCGGAGCACAGCATCAACATGCCAAACCAAACAAGAGGCCCACTCATGTCAGTCCTAAAATAGTGGATAACTCAAAGCCATCATCCTCATGCACAAGATATGCGTGTGTGCACCGTGTGTTGGATGAGGAGTCAGCACAGGTGAGGTGATTTTACCTACTCACGTCTACACTCATGACAGTAGACACTCTGTACCAAGCTGCTTATTTTGTTTTTTAAATCGTCAGAGTTTTTTAGATTTTGTTAACACACAAAAAAGGAAAAGTGAAGAAACATTTCTACTGCTGAATGCCAAGTCTATATTTCTGCTCCAAAGCAATGACCACAGGTCTGCACTGTAATCCACCACAACCTTGACAATAGAACAACAGAAAGTCTTCCGTTGGTGCACAAGCTGCGGTGAGGAAAATCCTGGACTAAAGGATGTATGGAGAGACACCTACACTCTTTTTAAATATGAACCTTGGGGACATGTCCAGCCAGTTTAGCGTTAAGAGGAAAATTCATCCGCTGAAGAAAGAGTATTTGAAAGAGTATTTATACAGCAACCTTTGTCTGAGCAGACAATCATGTAACCCACTACGGCAACCCTCAAAAACCAAAATTTTATCATGCCATTCCTATCATGGCATGATAAAACAAATGCATTAAAAAGTCCAAAGGGTACAATATATCAATTCACGTTTCCTTGTACAGAGGTGTTTTACAACTGCCAAGATTACAATGGTTGGACATCCAATTTGGGACTTTAAATCTTAGCTCTTGTCTTTGAAAGTTCGGTTCCACTGCCGTAACTGAAAAGTCCCTGTACTTTAAAGAGTGGTGTAATGGCTTAAGAACAGGATGGGAATGTCAGCAGGCTCCCTTGTGTCCACTCTCCTCCGGCCTGACCCCTCTCTTGGTTTCAGCCCATATCACAACAACAGGCTTTGAAACACGAGGGGAAAAGCAGCACCGGCCTTACACATCATCTGCCATCACAGCTACTATTGTACCAGAGTTTTTTCTCAGGATATCCAACACCATGGAAAAGGGGGGATCCTGTTGCGCATCTCTATCGACGCACAAAGTAAAAATAGGGGTGGAAAAACCTTTTAGGGGCTTTTCAGTCAGGTTGATCACCTGATACACCAGGACCATGCACCTCTCTAGCAGGACAGAGGCCCTTGTCATGGATGCTTCACAACTCTGCACTCACTGCGCTGCTGTGTTGATGCCAGCCCGAGCAGCATAATACACAATGAACCCATGGTAGGCCTTTTCCCAACCATTTACCCAGCAAGCACCATGTAAGGAGTCCACTCACTGTGCAGTGTTGCAGAGTGAGGCTCATCACCACTTTTAAAACAAACATCTTCCCTCAGAAGAAGAAGTCAGGCTAAACCAGAAAACATCATCCAATAAGCTGATCCAATTCACAAATACACAAAATATCAGAAAACACTCAAAGGGATTCCTGAGGATCCAAGACAAGAATTTCAGCAGATGGAAAAAAAAAAAAAAAAAAAACGGGAAAGGGGACATTTTTTTTTACCGTATAGTGAATAGGAAAAGAGGCAACTCCATCAGCACCACAGACTTGTTAGTCTCTCCTGACATAAAACTCAAGACAGCTTGCTGATGAAGCAACTAATGTGTTTTCAAGTGGGCAGGTATGATTTACTGAATACATCATAAAGTTCAAAGTGTGGTACGGAGCAGTGTGATCAACATGGAAATAAAAAATCCAAACTTTTGGCAAGGTTCTACAAATGGACATTCTCAGCCAGCTGTCTCCCCAGAGGAATGCTTAAATGTTTTGAAGTTCAAACCTTTGGATATTTTTCTAACTTTATGTAACAGTCAAAGTTACAGAAATGGCTGGAATTCTATGAGACACTACAAAAGGTCTTGTATGTTTTTTCCTGTTTCATTTCACATGTTCTGTCATCAGTGGGACCCAAGCATGAGTCCAAGTATGTAAGCATAGCTGAAATAGTTTATGATGAACTTTCCCACAACATTTTACTCTAACACACTGAAGTCTTTCCAGACGCCCCAGTCCTCCCTCTTAGTTTTACTGGTGGAGGGGTGTAGCCATATATTATAGTTTGACTGGGATCTCTATTCAACTTCATCCCATATTTTACCACCTTCTGAGACTAACGAGTTTCTATTCAGAGAGTTAAAGGTTAAGACATTGTTCTGATACGGACTATTTTTTCAAACTGTTTCTGATCTAAAAGGCTCCAAACTGCTGTTTAGTATAAATGCCAGATATTTTCAAAGACTGACCTTTGTAGCTCCGTGCTATAAAAATGTCAAACCCCGTCTGTCTCCTGTGCTCACTGTGACGTGCACTACACTTTTCATAGAACCCCTCCAGGGAAATTTCTGTGGCATCAGAAACCAACTCAATAGACAAGGCAAAGAATTCAAAAATGTTATTCTTTCACGCTGGGACAGTGTAGTCATAATAAATATGTTTTGCAGACTGGTGAGGACAGAACCCTCAACTGTCCGATCTAAATGAAGTCCAGCTTAAAGCTCCTGCCACAGCTGCATGGCAGATTCACTGTCAGTAACATGCGTCATGAAGCAGGCTAATAATCAGAGACATACGGTTTTTAAAAAGAACGTTAAAAAAAAAACCCAGACAGAAATCACATAAGGACCCCATTGAGTGGCTTTGGAAAATTCAAACTGGATAAGAACCAGTTTTCCCCTAATTGAAAGATGCAGTTTAGCCACACTTTTGTGCACACAAAACCAAAAATTGCTAAAAAAGATCATAATTACAAAAAAAATCAATTGGCTGAAACCAACCTGAGACAGTGGTCTTGACAGCCGGTTATTTTTCTCCTCAGGTGACCATGAGCGCTGCTGCACACTAAAATACAGACAAAAAGTCAGTGATGTTTTAATTTGAACATAAAATAAACCCAATTCTTTTTTTTATGTTTTGCGAATCCATTAGACCTTTTTGGAGTGTATTAGAATGTTTTTACGTTCCCTAAAATCAGATTTGATATTTTCTCCAAAAGCATACTTTTCACATAAGAAAATCAAGTATCAAAGCAAAATTCAGTAGCTGTTGACTGATACACATAACCCTCAATAATTCAGATATTTTTAAGTCCTGCAGGAAGAATGTGGAGAATCATATAAAGTTAAAAGTAACTGGACACCTATTATTAATGATTAAATTATTATGATTAAACCAGGAGAAACCAAGTCATAACAATTGCTGCCAAGGTATTAGAATGCAAAAACATTCCAGTTATTAATCAGAAAAATAAAAAAACATTTACGAAATACCTCTACATACCCATTTTACTGCTCAATGGCCTTTTTTAAAATCATTTTGGAGCAGACATTCTGGTGTAAAATATGATCTGCTAAAAATAAATAA